AAGCTTTATTCCCATTGAAGTCAATGGGCCTAATCCAAAAATTCTCACTGGGGGCAAACTCCCACAGAGTTTAGCATGGGGCTGAGGCAGCTTTCAGGACTGTGCCCTGGAGAGTTTCCCTTGAGGAAGTTTGCAGGGATTTGGTCCTTAGGACTGCTCCCCACTGATGCTCTTTTGCTTCCAACCCACCACGTTATCCTGTTGGAAAGCTGTGTTCATCAGATGGGTGGGGCATGCTGCTACATGCAGCAGGGCTTGGGAAAAACTGCTTCTGAAACAAAAAGAGTCGGTGTCTCTCTTCCCAGATAAGAAAGGAAAGGAGGGGGGTGGGGGGGATTACCTCTCTCCAATACCTTCACCGTCCACCCCACTCGGGCAGAAGGTAGGAAGGAGCAGGAAGCACGGCCTGAGGCTGCTGCTTCCCAGAGCTTTCCTACTGGGGAAGGGGCTGCAGAGGGGGACCCAGAGCCCCCAGCCCAAGTCGAGTGCAAGTTGCATGTGCCCCCTCCCCCCCCGTCCCACCAGCTGAACCCACCTTGTCATTGAGGTTCTGCAGCGCCTCTTTGCCGGTGGCCGCTCGGATCTCCACCTTCCTCCCGAATTCAACAGATGGTTCCCCTGCCTTCCTGCTCTGGCGCGAGTAGGGGGACGGCGAATCCGGGCCCAGCTGCGCCACGTCCCTCTGCTGGGCCACGATCTTGCTGGAGCCGCGGCCCACGGACAGCGAGTCGAAGTCGATGGTCTTGTTCTCCAGGGAGCCTTCCACCGGGCAGAACATGCCGCAGAATTTCTGCCGGGGTTTGGGGCTGCCCGAGCCCAGGTTCTTGAAGAAGGCCGGCACCTCCTCCTCCTCGCCCTGCCGCCCCGCTGCCTTCCTCTCGGCCATGGCTCCCTGCGAGGGGGAAACAACACGGATGAGAACAAATAGGAGCTGGAGCTGGAGCTGGAGCTGGAGCTGGAGCTGGAGCTAGAGCAGGGGTGGGTGTGGGGGGGGACTCGCCCTCGGTGCTACGGAGACGCCGGCGGCGGCTGCCAGGGGGCTGCGCCTGCCCGCATAGGGATGGAGCCGGGCGTGCTGCTTCACGCCAGGCAAAGTTGCGGGGAGGGGGCGGGCCGGGG